CTTTCTTNTTCTCTTTCTTTTTTTTTTTTTTTTTTCCTTTTCACCGAGTTCAGAAAGTCCCGAAGTGGTTTACGAGCAGAATTTTTAGAGCTAGCTTTTCGTATTCGCATAAAAGTTTTTTTTTTTACAATTCTTTACTGATTATAAAAAATTGTATCCCCTTTCTATTGTTCGTTTCGTTTTTTCTTTCGAAAAATCGAATGATAATTGCAAATATGATTGTATTATATATCGATAATGCATAATAAATTATTCGATATATATATATATATATATACCGAATTTTTTATACCCTGTATATTCGCTGTATATTAAGATATAAAACTTATAAAAAAATAATCTAATCGCTCGAAGAGTTTATATCTATATCTATGTATCCATACGTTTATACCTGTATATAGAGATTGCCTTGAGTTTCGCGGAAATATACTAGAGGTTCGACATAATTGATAAAATAAAAATAAAAATAAAAAAAAACCCTACTATGTAAACATTTGCTGAGATCTTAATAGAATTATCTAATCGCTATTAGATCGTTAAAAAAACGTGTAATCGCGGCGCGACTTTGTGGCTGGCTACGATTCCGTAAAAGCAGGTGAAACTATAAACGAGATGCAATGGCGCCGAATGATGAACGAGTGTCGATCGCGCATTAAAATAGAATATTTAAAAGTGTACTCACCGTTCGATGTCACAGGAAATTTGGTACACGGCAACATAAATCAGATTCCCAGAGATGATAGAGATACGGCACTCTAACAGCCACTCAGTCAAAGCCAAATGTCATAGCAATCCGCGCACTACATCGGGCCTCGTCGACGCGTGTCACGTCAAGGCAAAATTCAAAACCGAAATTCCGAGCATTGTCCTCGTGTCATAGCGTCAGTCACACGCGATTCCGAGAAACACGGTTCTGTTGAAATTGCTTCGACTTGACCACAGCCCGCGGCAAGACAACAAACATTTCGATAATACGTTAACGAAACGATCAACACAAACGATGATTCTACGAACTTTTTTTCGAAACACATGCCAAACACGCGTCACACTACATTTCTAGCTGCGTAATAATACACAAGGTACATCCCGCCAAAAGTAGTACAGGAAAAGGAAGAAAATTCCTGGTTCACGGAATTCGCGAGCTCTCATTGGCTGTTCTTTTTCTAATAACGAATCATCTTCGAGAATTATATAAAGCTTCTACTACGTTGGTCAAGATCAGGTTATGTCCATGTTTGACACCTGCGAATTAGTAACTTCGATGGACGAAAACAGGAAAAGTTTGTATCCGATCGACGCGTTTTACGCGAAATATTCTTTCCAGAAGGTGAATTTTTCGTTTATTCGCGATCTGATGCACTGTCAACGCGATATTCGGCACTAACATATCACTTCACAAGAGACGCGTGAACACTTATTAGTCCGAAATGTCCGACACGTAAAAATCTTCTTCCCACCGTACTTAAATAACGAACCGGATCACTATACAGATTAATGTTACTTTCACTATCGCGAAAAAACGTAAAATAACGCGATTTCCAAATAGAAAACAAGTACGAACACTACCGCGTAGTTTACCGTATCGCGCACAGCATGGAACTGATCGTGGCTCGACCGTACCGCCCCACCACGCCGCGTCCCCACTACTACTCATCCACGCTACGCGTCGCGTATATTATTCTTATACTGTGTATATTCTATATTCTTACTACATAAATCAAAATAATTAATAATATATATTTAATTTAACAATTTCTTAACAAATTAGAATAAAAATATCGTCCTATAATAATCATAAAATTTAAAAATTTTTTTTCTACGAATATTATAAAATTATAAAATTCTTATTTTTATACGATTATAATATAACGTTTATACGATCGAAAATTTTAAAACTTCGATGTATTAAACATTTTTATAAATTATTAATATTTAATTTCTATAATAATTATAATTAAAAAATTACTTTAATAATTATTCTAATAATTATAGAAATTAAAATTTTTTTCTTTCTTGAATATTATAAAATTCTTATTTTCGTACGATATATAATATAACGTTTATACGATCGAAAATTTTAAAACTTCGATGTATTAAACATTTCTGTAAATAATTAATATTTAATTATTCGTGAAAATTATAAGATTAAAGTTTTCTTTCCCTCTCAAATATTATAAAATTTTTATATTTATACGATCATGATATAACGTTTATACGATCGAAAACTTCAAGATTTCGATGTATTAAACATTTTTATAAATTATTAATATTTAATTTCTATAATAATTATAATTGAAAAATTACTTTAATAATTATTCTAATAATTATAGAAATTAAAATTTTTTTCTTTCTTGAATATTATAAAATTCTTATTTTCGTACGATATATAATATAACGTTTATACGATCGAAAATTTTAAAACTTAAAATTTTAAAACATTTCTGTAAATAATTAATATTTAATTATTCGTGAAAGTTATAAGATTAAAGTTTTCTTTCCCTCCCAAATATTATAAAATTTTTATATTTATACGATCATGATATAACGTTTATACGATCGAAAACTTCAAGATTTCGATGTATTAAACATTTTTATAAATTATTAATATTTAATTTTTGTAATAATTATAATTAAATAATTATTCTAGTAATTGCAGAAATTAAAATTTTTGTAATTATTCCTTGAATATCATAAATAAATATTCTTATTTTTACACGTTATTTGTAACGTTTATACGATCGAGATAGATTTCCACGTAAATATCAATTATATCTTTCTAAATAATTGAAGCATCCATGAATCGATTAGATCGATTTTTCAAAAATTCTAGAAGCGATAATGTTGCAAGAAAGAAAGAATTTTTAACGCAATTTCGAACTTCGTCCTTTCGATATTGAAGATTTTTATATCGTCCCAAACTAAAATTCGATCGATTCAACACCAAGAGATATTATTACCGATCCCTCAATATTATCGTTCTCGATTCATTCGATACGATATTGAAAAGAATCGTCCCTTTCTTTCTTTCTCGCCACGAAGCGTATTCGTGAAAGATAGACCAGTTCGCAGGTGTCGTACGATGTCTTTTTTAAACAGGATCAAAAAAAAAAAAGGAACCAACGAGAAGAAAGGCGCGTTTCCCTTCTATTACGAAGGAAGAAAGGAAAACGAGGAACCCAGGCATACACCACGTTAACTCATATGCATCGCGGTCGACGGCTAGAATGCGATGAGACTTCCACGGGCATTGTCGCGAAATTCCGTGGACGTAATTTCGAGCAGCACCGAAGCTCCGCGATAAATTGCACGGCCGATGAAAGAAGCTTTCTCGAAGAAATTTATGAATTGTCTCTTAGAATAGAATTTTTTCTTTTTAAGCGGATGCAACGGATGATCTCATCGATCCGTCACGAGTGCAGCACAGCTAACGAACGAACAAAAATTTCCGAGCGTAAATTCTCTCGTTGAACGAAAAACCGAAAGGGAGAGGGGAAAATCAGAGAAACGGATTGATTCCCACTTGAGCCGTATAGTCGCGCCTTTCAAATGGCAAATTATTATTTCATTATGGGACGAATTAGAGATTATTTCTGCGCAGGCGTCGGCGAACCGCAGGAAACGATTATTAAGCCCGAAGCCGTTGTCTTCTTCTCCGAATGAGATGCAATTTATAATACAGTCGTTTGTCCAGCGGTATCTAATTGCATTCGCTCCAAAGATCTCCGGATATGCATCTAATTGTTACAGTTGTTCCCACTTAAACGCAACTTTGCATTCCATCGTCTCTGTTAATTCTTCCATTGTGTCCGGATCTTCATTTAGCCGTCGGTAATCCGGAGCAATTAGACAAATTATCCGAATTCTAGTTCCATAGTCCCCCCGAAAAAAGAGAGAAAAAAGAAAAATGATTCTCGATCCCGAGCATCGAGAGGATGGAAACGTAGTCTCGGTTAGTTAGCCATCATAAAATCATCATTCTATTTGCTTCGATCAATTTAGACGTTCCCCAACGAGATATCGGGTTACCTTCTTCATTGGATCATCAATAAAACCAATTGGTATCGGTACTGGTTTCTCGAGCAGCTCTCCTTCTCTCGGTGATCTCGAAACGAACAAACGTTCGAACAAACGTTACCAACGTACAAGCACGATTCCTTGAAATCTCAACACTTGTATATAAATATATATATATATATCCTCGGTTCCGTGGGCATTGATTGACGATTTTTAATCGTCGGCGGGGAAGAAAAGTGGTGTTGGTCGGCGCACGCGCCGCTTCTTATATCGTCTTAAAAAGACAATTGCCGCGGGAAGAATGGCACCGTAAATGTGATAGCGGGATAAAAGAATACGGAATAAGAACGGCTCGCTTGATGACCGAGACGGTGTTGGTGCTTGTGCACGTACACAAAGAGGTTTGTGGACCACGAGGGTGGAGGAAAGCCGAGGGGGCTGGTGGCACCGTGGCACCTATACATTTAAATAAATAGCGTTTCATTATAACTTTTGTGCGCGCGTTACTGTCCGCCTGACAATGCCTGAAACAAAGCGCCCTTCCATTGTTTTCGAATAAAAGAGCGCCGGCCCCACGGCATGGCCGCCGCCGCCGCCGCCGCCGCCGCCGACGACGACGACGACGACGACGGCGGCGACGACGACGACCAAGCATCATGCCGTCTCCTCCTTAGCTTAGAATCAGAAGACAACCTTCTTTCCTTCGCGAGGAAGGATTTACAGCAGGAAGGATCGTCTCGTAACTCGATCGTCCTTTCCTTTCGATCGAGTCAATTCCTCGAACGCCATCATCTTCATCTTGAAAGCTTGAAAATAATCCTAAGAAGAATCCTCGTGATTAAAACACGTAATCCACGTGTATGGAATATGTAGAAAATTAATGCACGACGTATGATAAAGATGATTCCGTCGCGAGACGGAAGATGCAAGGTATGAGAAAGTGTGTCAAACGTTGAAGCGAAGAAACGAGCGAGCGAGTTGAATCGAGAGCCGCGATGCAATTCCGCGAAAATTTCAGCAAGAGAAGATTATATATTGCAAATTCCGACGCAATAAAAATCGCGAGCGCGGCATCTGTAAATAATATATACGGTATACGGGGAGGGGGCGGGGGGGGGGGGAGAGAGAGAGAAGGACGTGTGTGTGCGCGCACTTGCGTCGGAGCGCGAGTGCTTCCACAGTGCATAAAGGGGCCCGGTAAATATAGCTCGCGATATTGTGCACGCGGCCCGCTTTGTAAGGAGCGAGGTTGCCGTCTTAATATCGCGGGAGGAAGGATTAACCGCGAGACCCGTCTAAGAATGGAAGGATCACGGTGGGATTCTAATTAAACGGAAAACAGCTTCATTAAGTTCCCTAACTGCCTCGAGGCCATGCTCCCCGTGATTCCGTACCTGTACCGTCATGTTAAGGCGAACCCTTGGATGCACGAACTATGTAACGATGAGTCATGTATTTCGCCCTAATTACGCGAATATCTGTATCATGGTATAGAGAAGGCCGATCGAACCGATTATTTTTTTTTTTTTTCCCATCGTCGCGAGCCATTTCGAAAGATCGTATTAATTATTATATGCAATTTTGGGACGAGAGAAAGGAACGGCATGGATCCAGATGACGCGACGATTTGCGTTTCGATCGACAGGCAGATAGATACCGAATACAAACACCGATCAAAGTCGTTAATTCCTTTCGATTCAAATCGGATCTAGCCGAGCTCGGCTCTCGGATAGCGAAGGATCGATATTAAACGTAATTTTCGTCTGGTTTGGAGCACGAGGCTAGCTTGCGTTGGATATTTATAAATCCAATGGACGATGGATGTATTTTCGCGATTTCACGCGTCCACCGTGTGTGTTTAAAAGTGGAAAGAGCGCGGACGAGGCGCGGTGAATCAAAAGCGGCGCAAAGTTGTCGCCGTGGATGCAGTTACAGTGGCTTCGTTACGTGTCGATTTGCCGCCCAGTTGAAAGACACCAATTTATAATTATTGCATTGAATAGACCGGCACCGTGCACGCCAACTCCCTCCCATTCGATATTACCATCCATTGTACAGTTTAGATTCTATGCAGTAGTCATCGCTCTCTCCTCCACCTCGCCTTCGCCATTCGTTCGCCGCTCGCCCTCTCCCTCGCGCTCTTTCGTTTCAAACGTTTCAATTTCCGACTCCTCGCTCTTCTCCTCTTCTCACTTTTTCACCTCCCCCATTCCACGCGATATCGTTCCACATCGTTGTTTATTACACACGCCAACACTTTTACATCTCTCGTTACGCTTTACGAACGAAATTTCCCTTCCCTTCCCTTCCCTTCTCGTCCTCCCATTGTCCTCCCGTCGATCATTATCTCCTCCTCCTCCTCCTCGCATCTCCCCCCGTTTTCTTGTTTCTTCGACGTTGTTCCGTGCCGATCGAGAAGATACCGTCGATTAAAAGGACATCGGCGAAAAGCCACGCATCCCCCGATCCCCCCAACCCCCCTCGATTAACGCTTTCCAGAAGATTCAACGGTGAAGCTGAAGGACCGAATGGAAAAAGAGCAAGGAGACAAAGGGCCGGCAGATTGGCGATTGCAATTTGCAGAATGGAGCCGCGAGGATGGGTAGGAAGAGGATC